TGAATTTCAACGCGTGTACTCGCAAATAAGGGGGAGTCCCATATCTGGGATTATAGTATCGAACTGGATGGCAAGGATCGTGGGGGGTTCGACCTGTTCGAACGATCGAGCATATACCTAGGGTCAATTGGGCGTCGACAACATCGACCTATGCGGCCCAACATCGGCATAGGTCCCCCAAGGAGTGATTAACCGTGCATTAACCGGCCCAAGGAGTCGACCATTAAGGGTCGATTGGCAACCGGCCCAAGGGGTCGACCCTCGACATAGCGGCCACCAGCGAAATGACTTAGGATCAAGCCTTGGCCCTCAAAACTATCATGCGCTAGGTGCTCGGTCAACGAACGTCTAAGGATCTATGGTCCCGAGGACCATATGCCAGAAGGTCGACTAGGAGCCTTAGGGCAAGATTCGACTGGGGCAAATTCACGTAAGGTATTCAAGGCCACTCGGGTTGATTGAACTACGCGAGTGCGCGATCGACCCATGTGGGCAAATGATCGACCCCACGGGCTCACGATCGACCCATTTGGGCTCACGATCGACCCCTTTTGCGGGTGTGCGATCGACCCAGAGTCACGCAGAAAGTAAAGACTATGCATGTCGGTGCACGATTGACCGAGGGGAACGCGGGATCGCTGCGATCGACATGCTCGACCCGCAATGGGTGGTCAAGGCACGGTCTATGTGTTTGACCCACTGTGGGAGTCGATACCACTGACCCATGGTCGACGCACTGCCGACAGGACCACGCAGGTTTACACCATGCATGTCGAACACCACGCAGGTTGACGCTACGAAGGCCGATAAGTCACAAGTTGATGCACCACGGCACGACGTATCGCGTTCAAGCGCGATACCTCAAGCGCGACACCTCAAGCACGAAGATTGTGCTCCGACACCTCATACGCGAGGATAGAGCTAAGACACCTTAAGCGCGGGTCGAGCTCTGATTCCTCATGTGCGAATAACAGACCGACGTTGAATGTTCTGCACGTTGACGCTTTAATGATCGATGCAACACAGACTGACGCCCCGCAGGTCGACACTTCTTACGTCAGTACCTCGCAGGTCGTACGTCAACGCCTCGATGGTCGATGCAGCGCAGATGGATACGCCGGTGGATGCAGCGCAGATCAATACGACAATCGATGCATCGCAGACCATGCACCACAGATCGACGTCTCGCAGGTTCGGCGTGTTGCAAGTCGACACATCAAAGACCGAAGATTACGCGTCGAACGCGTACACATCATGAACCATGCGTATACCACACAAAATGAGGAAGGCCATAGATCGAGGCCTATACACGATCCCCGACTACGCGTGATCGAGCTCTTAGACTCGATCCTTATCTCGCCTGATCAAGCTCACATGGGCGAACGATCGACCCGCGCGATGTGGCGGATCGGCACAACGAGCTCGACCCGCGCGGTGTGAGCGGCCCACGCAAGGTGGTCACCCCCGCGATGTAGCTACTTCGACAAAAAGTGGAGTAGAATGGCTCTGATTACGGGTATGAGCCGAGGGGCAGTCCGCTCGATCCCGGTTGGAAGACCCATCGTCACGCGTCTTCGTGGACCTGGCCTATTTCTTTTGCACCACTGATTGCTCGATGATGGAATCTGAAAACAATAAGAGTAGGTGGTCAATATAGACATACATATGACACATAACAAGTAAGGATGCGACCCACGGTGGCACGGTTGACCCACGACCGTCCCATGGCCGGCAGGACTCGCTCGTGGTCAAGGCGTTCGACCCACGATGGGGGTCGTTACCGTTGGCCATGGTCGAAGCAAGTCCAACGTGTTCGACCCACAGTTGGGGTCGATATAACCCGTGGTCGACGCACGACAGACGCGCTAGACTCACGATGGGTGGTCGATGAGATCGACCCATGGTCGGTGTGGCAGACTCGCGGTCGACGCGTTCGCCCCACGATGAAGGTTGCTACCGTTGACCATGGTCGACGCACGACCAACGTGATCGGCCCATGGCGGGTGTTCGAAGCACGGTCAACGTGTTCGACCCACGGTGGGGGTCGATACCGAGCCCATCGTCGACCCAATCGACGTCACACGACCGATACCGCACCGCGGTCGATACACCACACGACCGATGCGTGGTCGACCTGCATGGCTTTATATCGACGCGTTCGACCCATGACATGAGATCGAAACGGTTGACCCACGTGGTCGATCCCCACACAAGTTGACGAGACCGAGGCCGACACTGTCGGCCTGAAACCTATATGGTCTGCACTCGACCCACATGGCCAGCACCCGATGTGGTCGACACATGAGTCCTTGACCCACATGATCGGTACTCGACTTATACATCTGATACCCAACGCAATCGCATACTCAGCCCTCGCAGCGCGGTCGATCGCCGAGGCCAACATGGTCAGGGCATAGCCGGCCCTCACGCGTGAGAGCAATGCGGTCGATCGAGCTCAAGGTTGACTTGCGAAAATTATCGACCATAGCGAAATGGTCGACCGGTGCGACTTATTCGACCAACAAAGCGCCACGTAATTTACCCCTATGGACTCAAACACAAAATCCAAGTCTTCTCGAGCAGCGGACGGTTGGTCCCAATATTGGATAAGTGTGTCGGTGTACTCGATAATTATATAATAATGGTGATAATAAATAAGAAGAAGCACCGAGCATGTATACCCTTTGACCAACTGGGCTTCGATTCACATACTCATGGAGAATAGAGAATTTCTCTTTATTATTTATATAGAACGGGACAAGTGAGGGGAGACATGTTCATAGTGGGAAACATGCTTAAAGGTGAGAAAAGTGACGTGAGCCACATGCTTTTGGTGGGTGTGTTTGGTGGGTGAGAAACATGGTATGGGGAGAAACAAAGTGTGTTGGTCAAAAGCTACTAAAAAATTAAATCAAGGTTCTTTCACGGAGAAGTGACCAGAACAAATACCACGCACTCACCAACCGAGCTCAGTAATCTCACGGTACTAAGGCTGAACGGAAATTAGGGGTAGCGATATACGCGACCGTAGTATTTACAACTACACGAATTTTGCCTCGTGTACTTGTAAATAGGGGGGAGCAGTTGATAGGGATAATAGTAATTAAGGGTCAAACCGGCCGAATCAAGGGCACATGACGGACCAAATCCCGCTCAAGGGTCGACCAGACGCAATTCGCCCAAGACCTAATCGACCCTTATGGGCATCGACCCTTACCACTGCATCGACCCTTACGACATAGAGCTCGACTGGACCAATGGGTCGATCCCCACCCCCTGCCTTGAACGCGGACCGATAGATAGGACATCAACCCTTATGGGCATCGACCCTTACGCCTCGGTATCACGCTTGGTCGACAGACATTCTGGGACCGGTTCCCGAGAAGAAAGACGTACACCGTCACTATATAAAGGGTAAATGTCGCGACTGGAAGGTAACACTTATCATTATTACATTTCTACAACATCAATTACACACATTTTCTCTCTCAAAACCGAGACACTAACTTGGGCGTCGGAGGGTCTTGCGCCGGAGCAATTCTGGCATATTTGCAGGTACCGGCGAGCATTCGAGCTTAGATCGGACCGAGTTAGACGTGTTCACACCGCAACCGGGAAGAACCCTTCGAAAGACCGAAGTCACCTATCTCGTACCATATCAGCGCACAAAAGTGCAAACTGAAAGCAGCCTACAGCTGAATGATACAACAGTTACAAACTAAGAGGAGATGAGGAGAGATTCGGAGATCGCCTAGAGACGCTCTAGCAATTGTAGACCTGCAACACTACAACACTAAACTAAAAACACTA